TAAAATTTGTTTTAACAAATTCAAATATCATAATATATATATAATGATAAATTTGAAATTCTTTTAATCAATATATTATATTTTTTAACTTTTTTATCATCTTGTTTGTATTAGTTAATACTAGAAGGGTACTCGCACAATGTAGCGAGATACATCTCGGTTTTAATGTTTCAATTTTGTAGTCTCAGTTGATATTATAATACAGTTTTATTTAGTTGTGAAAAAGCGATAATGTTTTTATTTTTAAATAAAATATAAATATTAAGATATATCATAAAAAATTGAAAAAAAATGTTAATATTAATACCAAATAACTATTTAAAATTTCTCCTTTTTTGTATATTTTTTTAATTCATTTTTTATTTTTGGTTTAATAATGTAATTTTTTATAAATATAATAATTGAGTATTTTGTTAGAACTCGATGATTATCTTAATTATATTTTAGATTTTTTATATTTAAAATGAGATGTTTGTCCTCTATTTGATAATGTTTATTTACACATACCTTTTTTCTACTTCTTTTTCCAAGTGCAGGATAACCTCAACAGAAAACTGAAGAGTAACGGCCGTGTCTCAATTCCAGTGTGGCTGATCATCCTCTCGGACCAGCTACTAACTTGCTATCATCTTACCTAACAGGCAAAGATTTGGGAGCGAACTCCGGGCGAATATGAAGCGCATGGATACAAGTTAGGCCTTGGAATGCTTCTTTTTTTGTCTAACTCACTTCCTGCCGCGTGGAGGTAGAAGGCCCACGGGTCGTGAACTGCATCTCTTTCCGTTATCAGGGGTTCTATCAATTGATATCTTTCCAAAAATAATTCAAAGTCAATTTCTTGATTTGTATCTTCAATTTTTGGAAACTTAGAAAGTTCTTCTGTCAAACCCTGATCAATGAACCTACAAAATCCTTCAAATTGTATCTGATTAAATCCAGGTGTTCTATTTGCTCGTAGCTCCCGTTTGATACTGGATAAAGCAAATCTTGGTTTTCGTTTTCCCTGCTTTTTCAGGGTAAGAAGGGGTAGAGCCGAAGCTATTTATAAAGCACAAGCTGAAACAAGTGAAATCAAAGGGCATTACTTGAATGCTACTGCGGGTACATGCGAAGAAATGATGAAAAGGGCTATATTTGCCAGAGAATTGGGAGTTCCTATCGTAATGCACTAATTGATGTACCTGAGATGCATTTCCTCTGGTTCCGCAATGGGCGAAAGCCTGACGGAGCACGGTCCTAAGGTAGCGAAATTCTTTGTCGGGTAAGTTAATCTTGTCTCCGCAATACTTTTTGTCAAAAAAAATTGTATGAGGCGCCATATTCTAGGAGCCCAAACTATGAATGAGATGTTTATCC